GACCCGCGGCCCTGCCTAAGCCTCGCGCCTCAGGCCCACAGGAGATCTTCAGCCCCCGACAACCTGGGCTGCCCCGGGGATGCCCAGGCTCGCGGCCGCTCCGCTGCCAGCTCGCTCTTCGAGCAAAGAGCACTGCCCCTTTTCTTCTGAAAAATCGGAAGGGATACTCGGAAGAAAACCCTGGGCCGCTGACCACAGGGCCACGGCAGGAAGCTGCAAGCTGCCTGGTCACCGCCACCTTCTGCTGCCCTGCTCATCGGTGTCTTCTTGCCTCAGAAATAGCATGGCACCAGGGGAAAAGAAGATACCCCGGCAAAGAAGCTCAGTCACAGGGCCAGCGGCTGTACGTTCACTTGAGCAGAGCTTTTGAATGAGACTTCAGATTTTTCTTCTATTCCAAAGAAGAGTGACAGCTGTTAGACACACCTGCGAGGGGACTGAAAACGGAGGCGATACCTCAGTAAGATAAGTGAAGTTAAGAAGCGTTAGGGGATACGCGAGCCCATTCAGAAACAGCTCCCGGGGGGGGGGGGGGGGGGCGGCCACAGCAAATAAATAATACACGCCTGGGAGCTAGCAACCCTCGAGCGACAGAGGAATTTGGGCTTAAGTCGCAGGAGGGAAGAGAGCGGGGGGATTTCGCGCTGCCTTTTCTTGTTGCTAAATTTCCGTTGCCTGGAAATGTCTGATGAGATTATATAAGCGCTTGCCAACTTGCGACACGTTAAGCAAACGAAAGCCGGAGCGGTGCGTGGCTTTAGCCCACCTCGTCAGCAGTGAGCTGAATACGTTTGCGACGGAGAGCTCCAACAGCGCAACCCCTCAAAAAGCCAGGAATGACGAGGATTGGACACCTCCTGGGCTTAAAAAGCTGCGTTCGTCTACTGAAGATGTAATCTCCTTACAGTCAGACGAGGAAAAGCAAAGCAAAGCCTTTCGGGCGTACGAGATGCTTATCGTTTTAAAGAATACACCATCTCTCCGACGAAAGGCTTTCGCGTGCTACTGCCTTTTTCCTCTCCCCATGCACGTTACAGACAGGGGAGCAATATTAACTCTCCGCCTCCATTTTAAGTTATACTCTCCAAAAACGCTGCTGCTGCCAGCAAACCTGACCCGTCAATAATAAAACAGCAAGTGCTGTTGTGCAGAAATGTCTCTTATTAAATGTAACCAGCCTAACACCGAAATGCTACAAGAGAGCAGCTACCAGTCACAGTAAAAATGTCTGTATTCAGTCTTCAATACAACTTCAGCGCTCCAGTCACCTTCAGCAGACCCAAGCTTTTCCGAACTCCTCCTGGTTGTCACTCAAGGCGAATTTTACCTTCTGCAAATTTAAATACGGTCAAAGGCCAGGTTAAAATACTACACGCTCTTATTTTTACCAAAACCGGATGGTCGCTCTCAATTTCCCGTATGTTGCTTGCCAGCAAAGCGCTGGCGTCCCCAAACCTAGCAAAAATTCTCGCAGTCGCACTTCTTCAAAACAGTACAAAAAGAAGAAGAAGAAAAAAAAACCAACGACAACCACCCACCCACGTGTTTACATGGGCAATAATGCTGACACACTGCAGATGCTGCTGGAAAAGGTGATGTTCTCAGCAATGTTTCTTAGGCACTGAAAAAACCCCACAACATCCGGCTGCAAGCTAAGGTTGTGCCGTCCGCGGGAGCATCAGCAGCGCAAAACTGCAAGCGGCAAATTGTCTGTCTGGAAAACAGAGGAGAAATATATTGCGTGTTGTTCAACCACCACTGGGACAACCAGGTCAGGACAGCACCCAGGAAAGGGAAGTATTATTTACTACAGAAATACATACGTAGTTTTGTACTGCAAGCTCTGGCATCTACGTCTACCGGGGGGAAAAGGTACCCAAGTGGCCTAGTGTTCACTTCTTGCTGTCTGATACATCTCCAGCAAAAGAAAAATTCCAAAATGGTGAATTTTTGTACAGCTTCCCAATTGCGGCAAAGGCAAATGCTTCGCTGGTGTTAAAGGTTACGGCTCCACTGAGATTTGCTCATGTTCTTCCCGCTGTGGGCTTACTCAAGGTGGGGGGAATAATACAAGGGGGGGGAAAAACCCTTAAGTGAGCAAAGCTGAAATGATCACCTTAGACCCAGACGGGAAATTTCACCCGCACCTATTAAAAATTTTGAAATGTCTCCAAAAATGAAGCTGGTCCAAAGCCCAATCAAAAATCCGTGTTACTTCCAGCTTCAGAAAAGCGGAAAAGTCTTCCCGCAAACGTCAGAAGTGAATCCGCTGTGATTTTAAGCTGCCTCGCCCAGCTACGTCTAGGACTATGAGCTTTATTTCTAGTAGTAAGAGTCTACCCGAGAGCTCCTCTTTAAGAGGGAGTACGGACAGGCAAGGTGCTCACTCAGGTGAAAAACACACCCAAAAAGGTTACGAGTACATTACTTCTTCCACCCCGAACTTCCTGTCCTGCGAATTTTAAGACATGTAAAGCCCGGAAGCTCAGAGCAAGTAATGTCTACTTAAGTAGGTCATCTTCTTAATGGCAGCACGCTCCTCTTTTACTGAGGACTCCTTTGCACCATAGACACACGCGCTCCAAACCGCGTATATTTATAGCCGCAAGGGAGGTTGAGCAGAAATACTACCTCGGTGGAAGCGCTCCATCAGGTGAAGCCCTAATGCAGAAAGACAAGCAGGAAAACGTAAGATTTTGCACCTTCTACGCGAGCTTCGTATAGGTTCGTGCCATTGTCGAGAGGGTCCTCTTGCTGCGCTGCACGCTGCAGATTTCATCGCAAAAGCCGAGCAAGGATTATTTCACGAGATAAGCGATAAGTTCGATCCTTACCAAGTTTTCTTGGTTCCTGGCTGCTATTTTCTGATCATCTTCGCCCCCATTTTTCATGTATTTGACCTCTTCCACTGGTTTGATCCTATACTCATCTGAGTGCCGAGGAAAAAAAAAAAAAAAAAAAAGAAAAAAAAAAAAGGTTTGAACCAGTGTAGTTCAGCAGCTGGGGAAAAAAAAAAAAACTAAAACAAACTAAAACCAAAACAGCTGACTAGAAAAGGCCCTAATTGAGCAAAGCAGTTAAAAATTACACGCACATAGTTTCAAATGCTTGAACATGACCTATAGCAAGGGAGTTTCTCTGCCTGCAGGTTGAGGAAGCATTTGCAGTTCTGGTGTTTAGAAACTGTTCCTTCACTACCTCTTCCAGCATGGCCCCAGCATCACAAATAACCCATATCAGGTATACGGGAGCATAGTACAGCTCTCCACCAACCCCACAATTTTCTGCATAATGTATCGCAATACAACCAAGTTCTTTGTACCTGGCAACATCCCTGGTTTTTTTGTTTTTAGTGGGCAAACAAGCGGCAGCTCCTATACAGGGGAGTCTGCTTAGCCACGTTCCTCACCTTGAGCAAACCTCCTTTGAAAAGCAATACTGACGGAGGCAATGCAACACGCAAGTTAAAATTCGGAGGGAACAAAAAAAACCCCACCAAAACCCACTACATTTCTCATTTAGTTTTTCCTGCGCTGCTTTAATGGGGGCTAAAGGAAAAGGTACGTCAGGGCAAAGTCATACAATCGTTTCTAGAGAAAAAGGCTTACCATCTCCTCCGCCTCCCAAAACCACATCATTTTGCCTGTAAACAACCGTTACCCACATAGACATGCAGTAGGAAAATAAGGAATAAGAAAAGTAAGAGTCACGGTTAATATTTACTTGCTACATGTTTCCAAGCAGAAGGGCTTTTCCAATTGGTACCAAATTGGCCAGCTCCGGTGTCACTACTGCAGGCGCGCTACCTAAGCGGCCCCCCTCAAAGCTTGACTAACGGCTTTGGGGTTTTTTCAATCAATTTCTCCCACTTGCTAGGGCAAGAGCAAAACACAAAGGGGTTTTCCTAAGTTTACCGTAAAAATAAACAAGACATACATAAGCAAAAAATAAAAAGTGCTTAGAAAGAAACTGGTTTTCAGGAAAGTGTTAACCAAAGAGTGCACAAGTTAAATAACATGAACTGTAAAAAAGCAGCTTTGTTTTAAGGTACGACACGGTTTTGCGTTTGTTCCACTTCTGTGTATTTTTTAGGTTATTACAGAGTTGAAGTAAAACTGGAAATTTATCACATAGCATCTCGGATAGGTACAATGGAGACTGAAAATAAGACAGTGATGGAAGAATTTAAAACCATATTATTAGATTGGTAACTGTGAATAAGCTCTCACTGAATTTATTTAAAAAAAAAAAAGGAATTTAGGAAATCATGAAGTGACAATAAAAACTGGGAATTAGAAACATGTGGTTGACTGTAATAGCTAACTTACAGTTTTTTCACTCCTTCAATGATCTCCGTTGTGATTAGCAAGAAATCCCACAGGCAGAAAGGCAAAAAATTCCCACAGTGGCAAATTTATGAATTTGAATGGGAAAACAGATGGAAAAAAAAATCAAAGGACGTATGCACAACCTGCAGCCAGCCCACGTTAACCAAAAGAAAAGTGGACCGATCAACCCAGTCTTCCAAAACAGGAGCAAGGTGTCAAGGCCCTGATGTCTGGTGGCAACAACCACCTCTGGGATGCGGCATCATCTCGGAGGCAACCAGGGCGTTGACAAAATGAGGTTTTTTTGGTAATAGGATAATCAGTTAGAATCAGATTTATACATAAGAGTTTGATACAGTCTAATAGCTTGGAGGTAGGACAGGAAGGAAAGTTTTTGTTGGAAACTCAGTATTGCTTCTCTAATGGTTTCTGTGGCAGTCCTGACAGGCCTCACTGTTCAGATATCTGGGCTACAGGCTTCCCAGTACCCAGCTTCCACATCGTCATCTTGACGAGACGCTCTTAATTCCTGTAGCATTACTACTTACACGTCCCAGGAATCGCAAGAGAAGGGCAGATGCCTGCACAATTCCTGCCTGAGACATTCAGAAGCGAGAAAGCTTCCAAAAAAAATTTTTTTTTAATCATATTTTTGGGAGAAGTTGAATGAACCACGTCAACTAGCCAGTCTTATTTCAGAGAAATCCATCTTCTCACCAGAAGACTTCACATTAAAAGCATTCAGGAGGTCAAAGTGGATGATGCTTGCTTCTGCAAACGGCTGTAAAATTAATCTTTTGATCGAAAGCGTCTTGCAAACTTAATCGGTATTCATGTCACGGCTCTATTATATAGTCTGTGGTTGTGCATGGGAAGTCTCTACCTGTAACTCAAAAAGCAACGCAATTTTGACAAGATCTGAAGCTGACGCTCTGCCGCAAAGGCAGACCAACACTCTGGCTAAGCGCTGGCCAAGGCATGGCCAACACTCATACCTCCGTGCCTGAATACCTGATTAATAGCCAGAAGCGCTACACAGCGAGCAAGCCCATTGAACCCGCGTGTTTGGAGCGAGAAGGACACGCACCAACATCAGACAGACAGGCGGACACAGCACCGGCCTGTGAAAAGTGAGTCATCGCCCTCACTTCAACTAATGAGGGCAGAAAAGAGGATTTGAGCTACGAGTGATTGTTTTATTACACACACACTCGGAGATTAACGGCATGTAACTGCAATACTGAGTTTGAAGTAATACTATTACTCATATGCTCTCATAATCTCCTACCACAGACAAAATATTTTCCTTAAAATAATACATACAAATGCAACATATTGGCATCACTTTCTCGTCACTTGCTAGAGGCAGGTAAAAATAGATATGATTCCCCTATGAAAGGGAAAAAATCAGCTACGTAATTATACTGTCAGCAAAAGTATTAAAGAGAAAAGAGGACTATCTGACAGATTAGGAGCCCCGCAGCTTTCCAGATAAAGCAAAGGATAGCTGGACGCATCCCACTTTCACAGCTACCCAACGCACCGAGGGAAGAAGAAACTCGTCTAATTAACCCGTCAACGGCAACTGAACTAAGCTGCTTAAATAGCAATAACTATCCAAATCGCAGCGTTAAAACGCTGACATTTATACTTGCAGCCTTCCTGACTGGTGATGAGAAAAGTGAAGTTTTTCTTTCGGTATTTCCAGTCCTCACTGACGGCACCTTTACCCTTCGCACTCAGCTTCAACTTCCACTTTTTTTCTGGATTGAGCCTACTCCAGCAACGCTGTAAATCCCTTGATTTTTATGGGCCCGTCACAAATCTCTTCAAGTATTGGCCTGCCCTGAGAAACACCGAACATCTCCTGAAAGCAATGGGTCAACGTGTAGCGTTTTGCTGGCCGAGACGGTTGACCGCGATGAGCCTTCTGGCAACCAAAAGGGTGCCAAGGAGGAGAAGGTGGCCCCTGCGCGGCTTCACCAAGCAGCAGGGCGAGCTGGTGTAAGGGGACAGATGCGAGTCTGACACGTAACACCTCGCTTTTCACAGAGACGACAACATTATTTCAATTATTTGAATGCAGCATATACTTGACAATTAGGCCTTGGGCTACATCATGCAATTACCGGGAGGACAGAGCTATATGTACATCGGGAATTCAAGAAATACGGGATGTAAAATTCACCTTTTGATTTCTACTGAAGTAAATACATCATTTTGAGAGGCTTTTGGTCCAACTGATCAGAAATCGACCCCGAGAACTCATGAAGCACAACTTAGGTCCTACTTAATCAAATCTGACAGTCAGCAAGACCTTTACAACTATAAGAAGTTCAGGATAAAGAAAATTACATAAAGTTTTATGCATATTTATCTTGCTCTATCTTGGTAAACAGTAATACTTTTTTTTTTTTTTTTTTTTTTACACACACCCAGAGTTTTACAGCAAAAAAGGATAACCAAAGGTGAAAAAAGATCTTTCTGCTTCTCTCACTTGTAAAAATAAAAACAAAGTCTGGATAAAATTTTACTCTTAGGATACTATCACTCAGAGCGTGGTGCGTTAAATATAAAGAGAAGAGTTGCGACAACTCAAACGGACGAAGAACGGGTTTTCAGGGCCGCCACGGCAAATACTCTTTTGATGCAACTGAGTGGCAAGACAAATAATATAATTGGACCACACACACAAAAAGAAAAGGCAGCTAGATACATTGTTAAGCATAATACCTACTACGAAATCCATTGCAGGATATAAACCAGAAAGCAGCAACACCTCTAGCCCAGAAGACACTGGAGGGGCAAGGGAGGAAGATGCTTTAAATTGAACATACAGCTAAAAGTCTCAATAGGCAAATCTTATGAATGAAGATCTCCCTCTGGAAACAGATAACTCTGCTCAAACATGTCACCCGGTTACCATGGAAATGTGACAAAGAAAAAGAGCACTCATTAATAACGATTTCAGTAATAAATGGGCACATCAACTTAGAAAATTGAAACAATTATTAGTGGGGGGGGGGAATGAAAACTGTGGTTGTTCCTATGAAAAGGATTTCTTCAGGATTTGCAGACAGTTGTGTAAGTGCCATTCCCACAGCTACACCGGTAATGACATTATACTTTGGCTCAGTTAAGGGGCGGGGGGGAGGGCACAGAAAAAAAAAGCCAAAAAAATAGAAATCTGTCCTCCTCCTCTTTTTTTTTTCTTTTTAACTCCATCAAATAAATCCGGGCTTGCCGTGACTTTTGCAGAAATCTTTTGTTAAATACCAAGTCTTAAAAAAGAAGAGGGCTATCTGTTATTTATGCTAACGTGCATTCCCATTTCAGACGTCTCAAGACTGACAGATTTGGCTCTGCTGTATTCGAAAGGGAAGATGGGTGAGCCTCTGTTCGCTATTTTTAGTGACATACCAAGCACCAGACACGAGATATATGGTACTTTAGCTCCTTTACCAAGAAGAAAGTTTCTGGCTAAACCTTCATTTTTCTGCACTCCAAATTTCTTCTGCAGGATCTCTTGCCTTTGTCCTGGAAGGATGTGCCAAGCTTCATCCTTCATTCGTTATAATATGAACGTCTGCTCTGCAAAATA